GCTGTTATATACAAGAGGAGCACTGTTTAATCGACATAACATGATATAACCAGTTTATTGTCTTGACGAACCGTTAAAAAATTATTCGATTTGTATGTCACGGCTTTTCTAGTCGATAAGAACCAATGGTTGTGCTTTTGAACCGGATTTCCACTACAAAAATACAATTACATTTGTCATGTTTCGCGAGGGAAATCGAAAAGAAAGTTGGTCAACGTTGGAATGTCGGTCTTACTTCACTTTTATGATTAGGCCATTTTGGCGCCCTTCTTTTGACGAGGTTGATGGTGCGGCGATGATCCCAGTTTCCATGAAACCAGTCAGAAGTGCGTTTTTAAGGAAGAGTTTACGGCCATGTGGCAAACGTAGCCTGTAGTCTCCTGTTTTCTTCCCACATAGTCGTACTCATTTATCAACCTCGGAAGGAAGAAAGGCGAGTGATTCAGACCGGGACTTGAAATCGGGACCTATCAGTTCTGAGTTCAACGTCCTACCGACTGAGCAACCACGGTCTGAAGTAACGTGTGATAAATTCCTCGCTCAAGGAAGTTCGCGAATAGGAGAAATATTGTCCTCGAGAGGAATAGAATCCGGTACCTCCGGGTTTCGAAGTAGACCTCTTAGGCAACTCTATCAGCACTCCACATGTTTCGCGAGGGCATGCAATGACTCCCGTCCCTGAACCACCACCGGAGGCGAGCCTCTTACTATACTGACAGGTAAAGATACGTCTAGGCATGGCACATGTTCAAGTCTGCACCTAGAAGCAAAGTGGCGGTGCCATATGCAGTAAAACTACATTCGGTAAGAGCTAAATAACGAATAACTCATTCAAAACCAGATTTCTGTAAGACATTCGTTCTTTGCAATTTAGCGATTCCTAATGTTAGTAAGCTTTAAAACGCGAAATATGATCATTTGCGATTAATTCAATTCATTTTCCAGCTGCTTTTGACATATTTTTGCTCGAGTTTGGACTTAGATTAGTTGCATGGTTCGGATATAACGAACGACAGAAAAATGTGGTGGAAGTTGACTTGACTGGCAGACCCCTGTTAAAGAGAATGTGTCAGGAAAAAGAAGAAGGTTCGGGTTAAAGCATCTGCGTCGCCGCTGTCGTATGTCAAGGTCATCGTGAGATGCTCCGATCAGAAAGGCACGTCTACATTTTGTTCTCGTTTTTAACGCAGCTCCTTTTCCATCTTCCGAACATCATTTCTTTGTCTACCGTTTCGTCATATCCCTCTCAGCCGCCAGTACATCGATCGACTTCGTGAATCGAGCTCGGCGAGGCATTGTTGTTGCATCAATTATTCCGCTCATACAGAGGTATGGAAATTGGCCGCTTTGCTTTATTTACGGGAGCGCAAATTTCGGGGTCACCAATGCCTCATAGTTAATGTACTGACCACTCACTCTCCTCCATGCGCGAAGCTTTGACTTCGTATCAGTTGCTGGCCACTGTCAGATGTATAAATGATATAGCTTGATATATACGTGTGTTCGCGCCGGTTTTCACGCGCTGTAGAATACCCAATCATCCCATATCCGACGAAAATTTAGGAGTCAATTTGGGCGTTAATAACTAAAGTTAAGCCAGGAAAACACGCTCTATATGGCTATGCAACAGTTTACCATTTTAAGCAGTATTAAGTTGGGATTCCGGACCCGTAGTTCGAACAGCGCATGTTGTATTAATTAATAGTTTAAGGTTTTAAAATATGAGATCGGCAGATAAGCACTGATTTTCTTTGGTACTCAAACAGGTTATTGCTCTACCCAACAAAGTGGTGCGGTTTTGCGTGTATGCACTGCAGCTGCTAAAATGGAGTCATGGCATGCCTGTATGGTGAATGGTGCGAATATTCCTTGTGATCCGGTGAAGTGACACGAGATTGTTCTTCAGGGCGGCATCAAAAACTTGCAATTGCTAGTAAGTCTATGATACTGAAGTTAGTATTTATTAAATACTTGTCGGTTAACCCGCTTATTTACAACACAAAAAGTTTACAAAAATTATTGTTATTATTGTTCCTGACCCTTGATATTCTAAAAGCCGATACATCTATACTGCAATTGTTCAGTGCCAATGAACCACGGTCTACTTTAATGGTGCCTAAACATCCGTAAGCAAGGAATGGGTGCAATAAGTCATGAGATTTGCTTTAGGAGGAGCTATGCTATACTTACGCATATGAATCCATTTTTTTAGTTTTGAAAGAGAAGGGATACTTCAAATAAACAAGCTCAAAGCATCTCACTGTGGGAAGTCTCCGACATCGTTAACAAAATTTTCATTCAAACACTTCAAGCTAAAATGCAGTTCACCTTTGTGAGAAGCAAGTTTCGACTGTATCTGGTAACCACCCCCCCCCTCCCCGCGCCCCATTAGCAAAACGCGGTGTTAGGCTAATCTGACACTGCTACTATTCACAGCTCTAACTTTTGCGTCCGCACCGCTGAAAGCAAGTAACTACCAAAGAAAGGAGCTTCTTGCCAGACCAAAATTTGGTGATATATATTTTTCAGCTATGAATATCTGTTATCGACCCTGAAACCTCTGACTAACGAAACGGTAATGATCAGTGGTTGTGTGTGTGTGTGTGTTTGTGTCTATGTGTGAATTTTTTATGCTCTAAAGCAAAATTGTCTAGGATAAAGCTATTCAGACTACAAATCATCAGAAGGTTGAGTCATCCTTTGAGTTGCTTCTCGAAGAATGCGTGTTGAAATAATTTCATCATTATCGAAGTGAATACTCACAGGTTATTTGGAAGGAAGATCTTTATGACGATGGGCCGGTAACGACAGAAAATAAAGAGGAGGAAATTCACGCCAGTTGATTAATAAAGACCGGTGGAATTCGGTATAATAGCGTTGCCCAAAATTTTGCATCACACCGTCATGTCTCCAAACAGAAAATGGCGTTCATCGCACGAAAGTTGGCGGTTAAACTCTTTTCACAAATAGCTTCACTTGGTAATCGCACATGGCTGAATTCCTGCTACTGTTTGAGCCGGCACTACAAGGTTTCGAGGGGTTCATTAAGGCTTCGGCATTGTAGCGTACAATTAGCGGATCATTCAGAAATCTGTGCAATTGTTCGCATGATGGATTAAAGCGAGGCCGAGATGAGCATGCCAGAAAGTGGTGAGCCAAATGTCATGAATTTCATGACGCGTGCGACTTGAACAAATCACCGAAATTCTAGGTAGATACGGTAACTGATGTTATCTCTAATTCACAGCACCTGTCTTCGTCTTCCGTCGTTTTATGTAATACCTCTATTGCGTATTACCTTAGACGTACTTTGTTTGGAAAATCACGGCGATTAACTGGGTTACTTGAAATGACGCTGTACCAAGCATTCTGAACACGCGATAATGTAACTGAATCATAAATGAACATGTGCCGAAGAGTGCAGGTCTGAGGCACCAAGTGGAAATTAACGAAAAAAGTTTGCTCCAGCTTCTTGGAATCAAACAGTCGTAAACGGTAATGATTTACCTCAAAGATGTTCTAAAATTTTAACTCTTTTCATGCTATTGCACTAAGATAGCCGCCTTGGCGGTTGATAACCGGAGTGCTGCCCTGTGGATTGTAGAAACAGTATCACCGCATATGACCATGACAAAGGACACTGAGACAGATACTACGAAACTTATAATGGCAATAGGTCCGCTTATGTAGAGGCGCATTTACCGCATCAGATGAAATCAATAGTCAAAAAATTCGATTCGTCCAAGAGATCTTTCTCTCGGAGCACATGCAAATGGTTGTACATGCGTTAAGAGCAGTATAAGCCCTGAACTAGTTCTGGAGTAGAGGCAGAACCACCCCGACGGAGGAAGAAATATGAGACTATGGTCCATTTCAATTTGGAAGGTCAGTCGTCATTGTATGATGAGCACAGAAATAACTGGCGTTTTGTATTCAATTCTGTAAACAAACGCTGAATATGAACTATATCCACCTTCACAGGGTTAGGAGGCGTAATTGTCGTGCTGGGTAATATAGTTGAATTTTGAATTTGCGTTGCACCTTGTTCTGGTTTTAAATCAGTTAGCAAGTGGATCAAGGCGAATTGCAGTCAGAAGGTGTACGCTTGGAGAATCTGTTTTCAGCGAGATATAGAAAATGATTAACAAGTAAAAGCATGATATTCGAAACATTTTATGCCATGTTAACTTGATAATTTGACATGATTCTTAGGCATAGGAATATCGGTGCTATAGTAACTTATTTCCATGTATAGTCGCATTCGGTGATCCACACAACGGTCAAAATAACGGCCAAAATTTACGGCTCTCCAAACTGGGGCGTCGGCACCTTTACTGATCATAGTGAGGCCACATGCTGTTCCCGCGTACATTCCTAGTCGTGCACGTTAGGGGTCGAGCAAACAAAGCAAGT